GGGTTGTCCCACTCACCCCTGGGCTCTGCCCGGCATCTCCCACTTCAGGAGCAGCTGCCAAAGGATTTTGTCCAGCGGATCCAGCAGGTTGACACACGCTCCCCTGTCACCAAGATCAATGGTAGGTACCAGCGAGGCCACCTCCGCTGCTGTCCCTCCTGGAGGGACACTGGTTCCAGGCTCAGAAAGAGGCTGCACCCTGGATTCCCCGTCCCCCTCCCGGTGCCCGTGGATCGGCTGCCCAGCTTCCTGGCTCCCCCCAATGCCCGCGATGGCCAGCCCCTGCCCCACCACCAGTGCTCCATCCATCTCAACTGTGAGAGCACCCACCTCCTGCACCAGGCCTTCACCGAGGCCACCCACGGGCGTCCCTCCAGCAGGTAGGAGCCTGCACCAGCACGCCTCGGTGCCCTGGGGAGGGGGCAGGACAGCCATGGTGAGTGGTGCTGGGGGATGAGGTTTGGAATGGTAGGGTCCCCTGCTGCCTGCCCAGCTGGTGTCCTGCTCCCCCAGGCCCATGATCGAGCTCTGCATCCCCTCAGCACTGGACCCAGGGCTCGCCCCACGGGGCTGCCACGTCGTGTCCCTCTTCACCCAGTACACCCCCTCTGTGCTGGCGGGCCCTGGGACGAGCAGGCCAGAAATGCATATGCAGACATGGGTATGTAATGCACAGGCAGATAACCGGTATGTAATGCATTCACAGACCTGGGTAGCACTGGGAGCACTGGATCCTGCCTATGGGCAGAGCTGCCCTGGAGGTGCTCAGGGGCTGACCACTGTGTCCCCCCAAGCTGCCACCAGTCCCTTTATCCCTCTGTAGTGTTTGACTGCATCGAAGCCTATGCCCCAGGGTTTAAGGCATCCGTCATTGGCAGGGACATCCTGACGCCACCAGACCTGGAGAGGATCTTTGGGCTGCCTGGCGGGGTGGGTACTATGCAGGCTCATCCATGAGCATCACTCCAGTGCCAGCACTGGTGGGCACCCAGCCCTGCGCAAGGCACAGCCAGCTCACACAGAGCTCTGCTTGCAGAACATCTTCCATGGAGCGATGTCACTGGATCAGCTGTACTTTGCCCGACCAGCACCATCCTACTCAAGCTACCGGTCCCCAGTTCCCGGCTTGTACCTGTGTGGAAGTGGAGCCCACCCTGGTGAGTAGAGCTGGGAGCCAGGACCCTCCTGGCGGGCTGCGGGAGGGGAGCAGGGTGCATGCAAGAGGTGCAAGGGCAGCATGGAGGGTGGGGGAGGTCCATTCTCTGCCCTCGCAGGGGCAGGGAGGTGGGGCAGCTCTGCTGGTGCAGCCCCAGGCTCCTTCTCCTTGGGGCTGGAGCTGCCCACTGTTTCCCATTTCTGCACTCTTGCAGGAGGAGGAGTGATGGGAGCAGCGGGATGCAATGCTGCCCGGGTGGCCCTTGAGGACTTCAGGCGCCTGTGATGGCAGTGGTGACACTGACTTTGCCTATGCAAGTTTGTGGCTGCTGCAAGCCATGTTGTCCCCACGTACAGCTCTGCCTGTCCCCAATTTGCTTTGCGGGCACCCTAGGGCACCAGCACCCCCTGAGAACTGGGAGGGGGGGGGGCAGGTTAGCAGGGTCCCTTATGCTCCCAGATGCCACTGTCTTCTTGAACACATGGCTGCTCCTAGCCCTCCACAGCCCAGCCTTGGCCATGGTGGGCCTTGCTCATTCCCCTCGTGCACCTGCAGAAATAAACTCCATCCTGGGCTCTGCCTGGAGCACTCATGCTCACTGTGGTTTTGTGGCTCTTCATGTGGCTCCTGATGCGCTGATGTGGAGGGCTGCACCATGCCACCTGCGCTGTGCCTGGTGGTGCAGACCCTGGGGACCTGCCAGAGGGCTGAGGCGTGTCCCGGAGTGATGAATAGGGGTTGCCAGCCCCTCGTCCTCTCCTCTGCTCGCCCATGCAGGCTCAGGTGCATGCAGGGCTATTTGGCTGGAGACACCCAGCCCCAGGCTGGCCTGGACCCCCCCAGGTGACTAGAACAAGCAAGAAACCAGGGAACTGCTTGAGACCTGCTAAAACTTGAGACCTACCTCGAACTCCCAAACTGCCCTCTGACGCCCTGGTCCTCGGTGGCTGTGTACAGCAGTCACACACCCAGCAGC